CCATGTCCCATGTGCTTTCCACACTGTCACGCTCTAAGGGACCACACAGGCCCAGCGTGGCCATGGTGGCTGCACTTCCCTTCATGTGGAACGTGCCGGCTGCAGCCGCACCGAGTGTAAATACGGCCTTTATAGAGACGAGGCTGGAGCGCTCATGGTGCTCAGAGCCCTGGTGCTGCCGAGTTAGTGTTGGCCTGGGGCTCCGGGCACCGCCGCCCTTTCAGAAGCGGAGCCAAGGGAAACACCGCCGGGCACTCTGCACTGTTCCACAGGGAGAGTGCTGCCCGCGCACGCTGAAAATGCAGCTTCATTGACAAAAAAGATTTCCATTCCTCATTTCAATGTATCTTTGTGGCCCTCTCCACTGAAGTCCTGGCTTTTAAAATATGCCTTTGTGGAAAACATCTCTCAGCAAATAATCTTACATTCATCTTGGAAATTCAAAGGCAGATACAGTGACTTGTTTGTGTGGGGGTAGGGGAAGGTGGGAGCAGACCGCTTCAAGACTATCGGCTTTCATCTATCAAAAGAAAGGAGGAACGAACCCTCCCGGGCACCTGCTCTAGCTGGCCTTGTGCTGGGTGCTCTTGTGTTTGTGAGACCCTCAGAAGAGGTCGGGTCCCTTCCCCCTGTTCACAGAACAGGAAACTGAGGCTCGAGGACCTGTCTAAAGTCCCACTGCAAGGAGATGAGGCCACCAAGATTTGAGCCAAGGGCTCCTGACTCCAAGATTGGGGTTCTGCCCCCAGCCCCCCAGATCCTCCAGAGCATCCTAAGACACCTCGCCTCACCCCCAACAGCGACACTGCGTATATACAATAGGTACACATTTCTCACCAAGATAGGATGTTCTGAACCAGCCATTTTCATGGAGCCACAGACAACCTTACTGCTGCCCTCTTCTGCGACCTGATCCTTTGCTCACTTTTCAATGCTTAATACTTTTCTGACTAATTTTCACCCATCATTTAATTTTCTGACTGTTGCCAAAGGAAAAGGGAATCTGCTGGAGCTCTGCGTGGGTTTTTGAGGGAAAATTGCTTGGAAATGTGGTTACTGATGGAAACTAATGGGTCCCAGATATCATAAGAGATGCAGGGTGCAAGGACATATGGAGTTTTTGTTTTTGTTTTTTGGTAACACCATTTCATACCTACTCTATGGTTTTAGAAAGCATGCCATACCTAGAAGCCCAATAGAAGGTCTAGAGCTTTTCCCAAATTCTTAAAGGGATTGGTGACCCCAAAACATTTTAAAATGCTTCGCTTTTCAAGAGCACTCTTTGTAGAAATGCCAAAGGAAAAGCTAAAACTATTGATGGTACCCATAAAAGTAGCCGAGGCTGGGAGCCCCGAGGCTGACCTGCCCTCTCCCCAGGACAAGGAAGCCTTGCCCCACATGGCACCTTCTCAAAGCCACCTTTCCGCCCAGAACTCCACAGAAGCCCTGCTGTGAGAGGCCTGGCCGCTGGCTTTCAGCGGGCGTCATCCTGCAGGCTTCTGCCAGAACTTTTGGCCACAGCCCTAGCACCCACGGCCTCTCCGGGGCTTCTGACGCTGTAAAGGCTGGGAGGCCTCCCACGCCCACTGCACGCTCTGCTCCAGCTGTCGGGGACAGACTCCCATTCTCTGCCCTGGCCCCTGGGGCTGTGGACTGAACACAACCAAGACCTTTTCCTCCTTCATGAGTGCTCTTGCTGGGGCCTGGCTTCCCCTTCCCAGGACGGAAGGGGCACAAGGCAAAGAAGGAGGCGGCTGCCTGTGCCACAGCTGCTACCAGGTGGTGCGTGGGGTGCTGCCCGCCCTTTGGAGGGGAGAGAGGCCTGTCCTGGGGGATGGAAGGGGCACGCCCTGGGTTAGCTATCAGTGGTGAGCATGCACGCCAACCTTTCTTCTCAGTGCTGTGTTGGGCACTGGACGGAGGGGTGAGTCGGGCCAGCCCCTGCTTCCCGTCCGGCTCCAGGTAGGCTGCTCAAACGCAGCTGCGAGGACTTAGGGAAAGCCCACCTGAGATGTGTAACAAAGCCCCAAACCCCAAACTTTTCCGGGTTTGCCATCATCACATGTGGGCTAATCAAGCCCAACCACCAGCCAGGAAGGAATTTGAGAAGTTTGATCTGCACAGAGCACACCTGCCTCCGGAGCTGCCCCTTCCCCACTCCCCCCACATGGAGCGGGAAGGACAAGACTCCCTGGGAACGGAGGTGAAGAGAAGGCGGGTAAGGTTGGCTCCTCCCTTGCTGGATGTGAGAGCAGCCCCACACCGCCCTGGGCTCCCGCTGCCAGCGCAGTACCTGCCAGGCCTGGGAGCCTGGGACTCAATAAATAGCTGTTGAATAAACATACACATTAATAGAAAGAACATGATGGAATTTTCCTAGCACTTTTGATCGTAAGCATCTCGGTTTGGGGAATATTTTGAAGAGAAGCTAAAGCAAAGTGTGGTGATTTTATTTATTTTAAAATATATAGTTAATAAAATAAATATCTAGTTCAATGGTTAGGTCCCGAAAACCTTTCCAAGGTTCTTCAGATGAACAAGGAAGAACTCAGCTTATTTGGATATTGGTGACTCAAGTTTGTACCTCTTTGCTGATGGGACCTACGACCAAACACAGGAAACCGCCAGGGGAGATGGAAGTGGGGAAGGGGAAAGACCTTCAGACATGGTTGTTGCACAAGCTCAGTGAAGTCACAGAAACTTGCACAACGTGTCTGGTCTCAGTGTCAGAAGAGAGCCATGGACTGGGCTGTGTCCTAGACACCATCCTTTAAGTTCACAGACTTTCCTATGGAACAACCACTTGGAACACGGGAACTCCAAGCATTTGGCCCTAAGTGAGCTTTGTTTGGAAAATACACAGATTAAGCAGGAAGGGAACTTGTTCCCCCAAAAGATGTTTGGAGGCCAGCGTCTGAATCCCAGAAGTATCCTGAAATCGCTGGCTATATGGCCAAATGAGGAGCACGGCGGCTTGGGCCCCTGCGACTACATGGAAATTCATTTACTGAAAGTGCAGCGATCTCCACTGAACACCGTCAGTGAAAAGGCAAGTGTGGGGTCAGCACTGAGGTGCCGTCAGCCGGCCCCAGTCCCCAGTGCTCAGGGGAGCAGCGAGCCCCTGTCCCCGGTGGGCCGCCGCCGCTGAGCCCACACCGTGCTGATGAATACTGCTGCATTTCAGGAGGCACGTGACTCTCTTTGCCAACACAACCGACTTTAAAAATCACTCCAGGAACTCCACACAGATGATCTCAGTAATCCTTACAACCTTAAATGAGGTAAAGGTGATCTCCCTTCTAGAAACTAGGGAAACTGAGGGCTTAGAGAGGTAAGGAATCTGGCCCAAGTCACACTGTGAGGGAGTGGCGGGTGAGGGACACAGGCTTGGAGTCCAGGCATCCTGATCCCTAGCCCTGAGCTCCTGTCCTTTTATCACTTTACAGTGGTTTCCCAGTGGTTATCTTTGTGGGATACTTTCCAAGATCCCCTGTGGATGCCTGAAACCACAGATAATACCAAACCATATATGAGGTCTATCCAGAAAAAGTCCAGTGGACAAAAACATTCCAGGCATTGTTCATGTAACAAGAACAGTTGGTGCGACATCGATGTAACCTGGCAGCCAAGGAGAGTAGATTGGAATGCGCATGTGTGAACAATGATGCCTTCACTGTAACAGTGGGGACGGTAGATGCCATTGAGTTAGCATGTGTAATGTGTGGCCATCACATTCAAAATGACTGAGCCAGTGGGCAATGAATCTGCATCAAATTTTGAATTGAGCTTGAACACTCCTCTGTAAAAACTATTTGGATGATTCAGAAAGCTGCAGGTATGGGCAACTGGTGATTGGCAGTTTCATTACGACAATGCACCTGCTCATGCATTACGTCTTGTACAGAGTTTTTTGGTGAAGTAGCAAATTACCCAGGTGACTCTGCTCCCCTACGGCCCAGATTTGGTGCCCTGTGACTTTTGTCTTTTCCCCAAATTAAAATCACCTTTGAAAGGGAAGAGATTTCAGACCATCCATGAGATTCAGGAAAACAGGATGGGGCAGCTGATGACAATTGGGAAAACTGTGTGAGGTCCCAAGATGCCTATTTTGAAGGGGATTGAGGTGTCATTATCCTATGTGCAATGTTTCTTGTATCTTGTATCTTTTTCAATAAATATCTCTATTTTTCATATTACATGACTGGATACCTTCTGGACAGGCCATATATATACACGAGCGATGTTTTTTCCTATACATACATACCTATGATAAAGTTTAATTTATTAATTCGACACAGTAACAGATTGACAGTAATGAAAAATAAAACAATCTAAACAACATACCATAAATTGTATGAATGTGCTCTCTCTCTCAGTAAAGTAGCACAAATTTCTTTTTCCACAAATTTCACAGAAAGGATATTCATTCTTATTGTAGATCTTAGCAACCTCAGCATACATTTTTTCCCCTTTCCTTAATAAGCCAATAACTTTCATCTTTTCACTTCAAGGAAGCGCTTCACAGCTTCTCTTTGGCATATCCAAATTGCTAGCATCGCTGCTCTTGCCCTCTGGAGCCATTCCTGGGGAGGATAACCACAAGCACTGCGACGCTGTGACAGCTGACCTGATCACCGAGACAGCTACTAAGGGAATAACGGGCGGGGCGTGTGTACAGCGTGGCTCCGCTGGGCAAAGGGATGATTCACATACCAGGCGAGAGAAAGTGGAAAGGTGTGAGATTTCAATACACTACCCAAAATGGTGTGCTATTTAAAGCTTATGAACTGTTTATTTCTAGAATTTTCCATTTAATATTTTCAGACCATGGTTGACTGTGGGTAACTGAAACTACAGAAAGTGAAACCACGGATAAAAGAGACTACAGCCCAGAGGTTGTGGCTGCGTAGGGTGCAGGGGTGTGTGTGTGAGAATGTGACTCAGTGCTCTGGTGACGGGCAGCAGGGAGGTCTGTGACATGTGCACGTCTGTGTCCTCAGGCCCATGGAGGGACTGCCTGCAGGCCCTGGAGGATGGCCATGACACCAGCTCCATCTACCTGGTGAAGCCAGAGAATACCAACCGTCTCATGCAGGTGTGGTGCGACCAGCGACATGACCCCGGGGGCTGGACCGTCATCCAGAGGCGCCTGGACGGCTCTGTCAACTTCTTTAGGAACTGGGAGACATACAAGGTGAGGACCACAGGCCTCTCTGTGCTGCCCACAGAAAGACTGGCCCTCCTTGAGAGCCTGCTGACCAGTGAAAGAGCCACTCAGAGGGAAGGTATGCACTGACCCAAACTGCAAGCACCTGACGCAAGAAGGACACTGACAGGGCCAATTCTGCAAGACCCCAGGGATGGCGAGGCCCAGTAGCTATTTCCCTGCCCGCCACTCATAAGGGCTGTGAGACAAGAGCCTGGAGTCCGGGCCAAAGCCCGACAGACGGGGTAGGGATTTAGAAATGCTGGTGTGCGGTGGCCCCTCTCGCCAGCCTGAGTGTGGGGCGCAGCTCCCTCCTGGCAGGGGCTCCCTTGGGGAAAGACACGTTAGCACAGCCAGAAGGGCCAAGTCTGTAGGCTCCCAAGGGCCTGTCCCTGGGACTAATTCCAGGTCCTAATTCCAGAGCTCATTCTTTGGGATCCCAATTCGCAGGAGGTTGAATACTCATCCGCAGAGTACGAAAGGCTGCTAGCACTCAGCCGTACTCCTGCCTCCCTTCTCTAAGCAAAGAGGTGGTCCTACAGACAGGCAGAGCAGCTCTGCTGACTGGGTGCCTGCCAGGTACCATCCGAGCCTCGGGCTCTGCCTCTTCCTGGCCTCTCTCTCCAGGGCTGAGCCTCTCACAGCCAGGCCCTGCTGGCTAAGGGCCCCGCAGATCCCTACTAATGCTCTCCTGTGCTTTCCCCAGCAAGGGTTTGGGAACATTGATGGCGAGTACTGGCTGGGCCTGGAGAACATTTACTGGCTGACAAACCAAGGCAACTACAAACTGCTGGTGACCATGGAGGACTGGTCTGGTCGCAAGGTCTTTGCCGAATATGCCAGCTTCCGCCTGGAACCTGAGAGCGAGTATTACAAGCTGCGGCTTGGACGCTACCATGGCAATGCTGGCGACTCCTTTACTTGGCACAACGGCAAGCAGTTCACTACCCTGGATAGAGACCATGATGTCTACACAGGTAGGACCAGTGGGGTCAAACCCAGGTGGAAGCTGGAGAAGAGGTCAGCCAAAGCCAGAGCCCCAGACTCCAGGGCCTGGGAACTGAAGGATCCCAGGGCCCAGCTGCGTGACCCTCTCCCTGCCCCCAAAGGTCTCTGCTTCGCCCACTGCCCACAGATCCCCTTTGCAAAGCTGGGTCAGAGTGACATTTACAAAAAGGCAGAGGTGAAGAGGTGCACAAATTATACATTTGATGGCTAATCCAGGTGCACTCACATCACCTCTCTGCCTGTGGCACCAAGCGTCAGGCTACACATCCCCACGGACACTGGGCCATGTGCCCTGGAACACAATGCTGGCTCCACTCCCTACCAGCCATGTGCCCTCGGGCAGCCTGTTTAGTCTGGGCCTTAGTCTACACGTGGCAACGAGGAGCAGGGAGAAGGCTGCTCTTTGAGCCCCCCGACCCCGCCAGGCCTGCCTCGACGTGTGGGCAGCAGGCAGTGGGCAGTGAGGAGCTGAGCTGCTAGTCCCAGCAGGCCCGGGCCACGGGCTGAGCAGGGGCCTCTGCAGCAGATGGAGGCTAGCGCTCTGACCAGGGCTCTCCCTGCTCTCCAAACCCAATGCTGGGTCCTTGTGGTCTCAAGTCACAGTCCAGGGGGACCTGAGAAACATGCGGGGGGAAACCTGCGCTGCCCGGGGCTCTGAGGCGCCCGGGACTCGGTCTCCCCTCTGCTTCCTGCCTCAGCTGGCCTGCTCCCCCTCACTTCACCCTGAGGCCTCAGCCAGAGCAGGCCACCAGGCCCATCAGGCCCGCCACCTACAAGCTCGACTGGGGCTGCCCTTCCCCTGAGTGACCGCCTGCTTCCTAGGCCTGATCGGGGACTGGGAGCCCCCTCTTTTAACTAACAGCAGCCCAAGCAGACAGTGGCTCCTCCTCCTCCGCCTTCTTGTGAAGGGCAGTGCCCCTGCACGACGCTTGCACCTTGCCCACACTTTCACTGCTGCTCCGAGCAGCTTGTCCTTGGCAGAAAAATCCAGAAGGATAGGATGGTGCCAAGAGTTTCATAAAAATATCTTTCTTTTATGAAAGAAAAAAAATATTTGGCCAGAATACTGGCTGGGGAGGAAGAGAGGAGAATTTTCTCTTAAACACTTCCTTTGTCGTTCTATAAAGACTCCTGGTCCAACAGTTTCAACTCTTTAAAAAATTCCTAAGAAAAACCCTTTTGCCTTCTCCTCCGCCCACCCCAGGTCACTGCCATTTTCTATTCAGACCCATGGTGTGCAGTTCTCCCCGTGCTTCCTCGGCACCCAGCCCTGAGCCAAGCACTTAAACATGCGCTTTTACTCAATTCCCATAGCGGTTCTGTGAGGGAGGCATTATGTTCATCGTTGTTTTACAAGAATTCGATGGTCCAGGGAGGCTAAGTCACTTGCCCAAGATTACACAGCTTGCTAGTCAGAAGGCCGAGCCTCAAAATACGGGTCTGAGCAGGCCTGAAGTGCGGTCCGCCTCTCAAGCTTTCTTGCTGCAAAGGCCCTCCTCCCAGAGAGGGCCCTGCTGAAGTCCCCAAGCAAACAGTGGACGTGGGTAAAACCACCTGCTCCCTAAGACCGTCTCATTCCCTTCTCTCCTGCAGGAAACTGTGCCCACTACCAGAAGGGAGGCTGGTGGTACAATGCCTGCGCCCACTCCAATCTCAACGGGGTCTGGTACCGCGGAGGCCATTATCGGAGCCGCTACCAGGATGGAGTCTACTGGGCTGAGTTCCGAGGAGGCTCCTACTCGCTCAAGAAAGTGGTGATGATGATCCGGCCCAATCCCAACACCTTCCACTAAGCTGGAGCCCCGCCTGACCTCTAGTGGCCTTCGCCAGGAGCCTGCCCCCGCCATGCTGGCCCCAGAACAAAAAAGCAACTCCTCGCCACTTTGCCTGGGGGCCAGAAGGACTGGGAGGCTGGATTCTGTTTTTCCACATCACTGCGGCAGATAATGGAACTGAATCGTACAGTATTCTCTGTCCCTACTAGTCTTCCTCACATCAGGCAGCCCCTCGTGTTTCCAGACAGGACTGCAGACCAGTCTTTCCTTAAATTAATTAAGTCCCCACAATAAAAACACAACTTCAAAATACCCTCATAATATACATGTGTATGAGCCGACCTTGCACACTTACGTGTATACTACATATATATGCATTTAGATATATGGCACATATAATATATCTAGATACATATATAGGTTTGCCTTATATGCCTAAACATACATATATTCAAGCTCTTACCAACAGCATTGCCCTTAGGAGAAAAGCATTTCATTACGTCGCGTTACTTGAGTCTAAGAGCAGATCACAGACTATAGAGCTCTGATTCAAAGATTAACCCTTGGCGTCCACGTGCCTGAATCCTTCTAGGAATGCCACTTTCTCTCTCACGTAGGGGTTTCCAACTCCTAACTTAAGAACCCCTTTGGACACTTAATCAAATTTCAAAATCTTCCTCCACCTCCATTTCTATATTCTTGCCCCTTCTCAGGACTTCCACCATCCACCCATCCATCCGCTTGTTCATTTGTTCAACACTGTTCTGTAAGTGCCTTGTGTGTACGAGTCCCTGGCCACTCACTGTACGTCCAGGCACCTTTCTGCGTGTCTCTTCTTCATGCCTACCTTCTCCTTGCCTTTGCTGTCACACTGCCCTCTCTTTCTAAGCAAGACTCTTTAGTCTCCCAGTAGGAGGCAGTCTGGGTTCCAGGTTTCTGGCCAGGAAAGGAAAGGCCAGGCCCAAAGCTAACTACCAGCCATAGATAATGTATTTGCAGTTTTGTATTTTCTATTCACACCTTAGCCTACATATCATTTTAACCTTCACAGAAATAATAACCTACCTTGCCCAGGAGATAATCAAAGAGAAGCCATCATCTGATCATTGGGACCCCCAGCTGGCCACAGGCCAAAGGTCCTACGCTCTCAGGCCCACTAGAGTCCACATCTCATCCCCAAACTACACTTCCCCAGAGAATGCAGGTGCCACAGAAATGAGAACTGGCCATTTCTTGTGAGTTACTGAATAATCAGGGGCCACCAGTCCCCTTGTTTATTACATTACAGCAAGGTAGCTTTCCAAGTCCTGTTGGCTATGAAGTAAGTGTCAGACTCAGTACTACCGGAATATCGTCAAGCAGGGAGCAAGAGATGAGTCAAGCAGGGAGCGAGTGGGTTGGGGTGTGCGAGATGTTGGAACGTTTGGAACTGTCCATGTCTGGGTGTGTGCCTATTACCTCAGCATTCTCGCGAAGTGTACCATGTAGCATGTGTTGTATATATAAAAGGGAGGGTTTTGTTTTTTTTTAATATATTCCCAGGTTACCCTTGTAATGGTACAAATTTGCAATAAAAGCCATCAGTGCTACTTGGAAGTATCTGCACTGCGTGTTATTGTTTTAGAGTGCCTTCCTGGGACTTCCTGTATCAGGGCCTGTTCCAGGGAAACCAGAAGAGACTCGGTACCAGGGACCTATACCAAAACCATTTAAATCACTCTCTCCCTGTGTCTGGTTTCCACTTGCACCCCTGGAGTCCCATGGCAGAACCTCGGGCTGAAAAGGTCCTCCAGAACTCCACCGCCTTACGTTCTGGGCATGGCCTGGACACCCGGGAGACGCCACACAGGCTGCGCAACCAGCACCTAACATGCCTTCCTCCAGGTCTGGTCCCATTTCACCAAATGACACCACCTACTCAATGGCTCAGGTCAAAAATAAGGGCTTCTCTCTCCCCCTCACCAACGTCAACCCATCCCTGCACTCCAGCCCTCTGCCCCCATGTAAACACCCATCCCTCCCCCGCCTCGCCTTTGTCCAGACTCCTGAGGCTGGTATCCCCAAGCTAGAGCAGGTGCAAAACCACACCTGTGGGGGTGGCCCCGGACTGGTCCCGCCACATCAGCACCTGGCCCACCGGCAGCCTGTGAAAGTGCAGAAAAATATCCTGGGGGGCTGGGAGTGGGTTGTCCCCCACCACCACAGGGAGGGGGTGTTTCCCCTCCCCCTAAATCAAGTGAGAGGGACTTCAAGGAACCACTCCAAGAGCCTGGTGCGGGCAAGCATGAGCACTACCATCTGACTCCTGGCTGACATCTGCAGGCCTCAGGCGGAGAGCAGCAAGAAGCCGACTGCACAGGCAGCAAACAGCAAGCCCACTGTGGGGCGCAGGGGAGGCAAGGGCTCAGGTCTCCTAGGAACCAGGGAGCGGCCTGGATTGGGGGGGGGGGGATGGTGCAGGGGCCAGGAGCCAATCGAGGAGCCATAAGTGGTCAGCTGGAAGAGGAGCCTTTCCGCTCAGGGCAGCTGAGTCAGTGGTGCCCAAAAGGGAAAGTCTGAAGCAGCAGCAGCAACAAGAGAGAAAAGGCAGCAAAGAGGGAAAAAGTGGGCACGGGCACCAGTTCTGGACAACAGCCCAGCTGGCCACAACGATGGCCCCCACCCCCACTTCTCCCTCAACCTAAGGGCCACAGCACTAGGCTGGCAAGTGGGGGAAGCAGGGCTGCGGGATCCGGCGCAGACGCTGCCCTGTGCCCCCCTCACGCCCCCGCCTCAGGCCTCCCAATCTGGTCCGCTTTAGGAATCCAGTCTTCCGAGTATGACACCAGGCTGTCTGGGGTGATGTGACTGTTAGGACGTGACTGTTAGGACATGACTGTTAGATCGTATCCTCTGCATATACAGGAGGCAACAACGGGGCTTCTTCATGCCTAAGAGCAGGAAGATGAAGAGGCCTGCTAGGTTTTCAGCATCGACTGGGAATAAAACTAGTAGGCTGGAAAGGGCACAGGGGAGAAAATAAAGTTGGTTTCTTCTTACGCCTGACTGAGTCTAGCTTACTTAATAAGGCGGTTACGTAAGGACACGAGGTATCTCCCAGAGTCCATGAGTGAGGACACAGCTGGGCCTCGCCAGGGCCGGGAACCAGAGGCTGTCTGGAAGCCCTTCAAGAGGCAAGGCAACAGCTTTCTCCTTCTCTCCCTTTCCCTTTCCTCTTCCTTGTATGCAGGTCCTCTTTCTCCGTTTCCCGTTGCACGTCCATCTGCTTTTCCCAGAACGGAATTTCTGAGCTCACGTGTCCTCCTGGTCTGAGTGCCAGCAGAGACTTGCAGGCACCTCTCCCTTCCAACGCCAACTCCTGGCCAGAGGGTCCGACCGGCTGCTCGGGGCAAGTGGCCTCCTCGGTCTTACCAACTCTGCCTCAGCACAGAGCGGGCGGACTGAACACAGCTGCTGGAGTTCAACGCTGTGGGAAAGGTGGGGGAGTTCCAGGTTCCCGGGAAAGGAAGGGTCACAGCGTAGGTCTATATCCGAAGTGTCTAGACTATACTCCAGCTCTTGCTGGTCCCCATCCTCTCCAGGGACCATACTTTGCCAGCTAGATGAATTCCGTCCCACTACTGGTCAGATGGTGCCCTATTCCTGGCCCCTCCACTGCTGACCCCACTCTCACCAGAAAGCACATCCCACCCTTCTGGACCCAGCTGGGTCACGAAACAACTGCCTGTGCCCATATGGGGCTCTTCCTGCCCTTCCTGGACACGCTGGGTTTCTCAGTAGTCTCTGGATCAGTCTCAAAGGTCTCCACTTGAAGGGGGTGGTTTTCCTGGTAGCACTTTGCTCTGGATAATAGTCATACCATCTACCTTCTATGGCACCATGTGTGTCTCTTTAAACTCTCACAACAACCCTATGAGGTGAGGTCTACAAGTACCCTCCTCTCAACACAAGAGAAATTAAGGCTCAGAGGGGTAAGCGACTTGACCAAGACCGCACTGCCTGACACTCCGGATTTGGGCCCCTGCCTCTGCAACACGAAATCACGCTCCCTGAGCACCAAACTGAACAGCTGAGGCTCCCCCATCACCCATCATCACCCCCTAGTATGTCTAAGAATCATGGTAACACAGGGCCTCCTGCCCACGGGGTGGGTACGTGAGGTAGCTGGCCAGCCTGGCTGTGCGGAAGCAGCTGGGTGGACGGCAGTCCCCAGATGTCAGAGAGCCAGTTCAGGGCTATGTGCCCAATTTATTTCAGAGCAGTGGGCAGGGCCCAGAATAATAGAGGGCAATGATGGAGAGCATTTCACAGCTTCTCGGAGCTCCCAGTTCTTTGCCAGGACTAAGGCTCTTGGGCCCTGCCTTCCTCCCTTCCTCTTGTAGGACAGGAGAGCCACTTATCCTACAACCTACAGACCCAGCCCCACCCTCTGGCACTCACAGTGCCCCACTTGTGGCTGGTCTGGCTGTCACCTTGTGTACCAGTTCTACCCGGGGCAAGTCCTGGTCCACGTGCTCTGGTAACCGCATCCCTGATGTGGTGGCTCATCTCTCATCCCCATGCTTTCTGGCCTGGGGGCTTGCTCACCTCCCAGATCCCAGAGTCAGGCCTGAGCCAGCCCCAGCCTGGCATTCGCCACTTGTGGACACAATGCCTTGATACCAACTATCACCAAGGCATCCCACTGTCCTGTCTCTCCTGACCTGCGGCATCCCAGGCCAGCCCAGCCCACACGCGGGAACCCAGGCAGAGATAATCCCTCCCACCCCTGCAGCCTTGCCAATGCACTTCCACAGTCAGCGCCTTGGGGGCGGGTGGGCCTCTAGCTGTTCCACCACCTGCTAGTCAGTGGTCTTCCTGCCTCTGACTCTCTGGGTCGGTCAAGGCAACCTCCCTCCGCCCCTCTTTCAGCACATGGACCCTCCTGAAGCTGAGGGACATCTCACAATAGAAGACAACTCCTTGCCTTGGCTGGTGTGGCTCAGTGGGTTGGGCATCGCCCTGTGAACCAAAAGGTCACTAGTTCAATTCCCAGTCAGGGCACATGCCTGGGTAGCAGGCCAGGTCCCTGGCATGCGAGAGGCAACTGATCGATGTTTCTCTTTCTCCCTTTATTCCTTCCTTCCACTGTCTCTAAAAATAAGTAAATAAAATAGAAGAAGAAGGAGGAGGAAGAAGAAGAAGAAGAAGGCTGGGGGGAGGAGGAGGAGAGCTCCTCGGGCAAGAGTGGACAGGCCGCATTTGCCCTGACCCTCAGAGGAGCTGGGAGTGGCCCAGAGCCTGGAAGTGCAGCTTGTGTGGAGCGGACGGAATCAGAACCCCCTCCAGAGGCCCTGTGATGACAGGAGCCGACGCCCTGGTCATCTCAAATTGGGGAGAAAATTAGAAGTGCTTAGCCTCCTTGGAGCGCAGAACGCTGACCGAGTCCTGAGCAAGTGTGCACGGGGAATGAGTGCCTGTCAGCCTCCTCTCAGCGCGAACCCCCAGCCAGGCAGCCTTTCTTCACTGATCAGGGCAGCAGAGGCTCAGGGAGGGGGAATAAGGACAGCTGCTCAGCGGCAGAAGCAAAGGTGGAGGGCGGCTGGGTAGTCCGGGGTGGGGGGGCGGGGGAGCAGTTGGAGGCAGGGACTGAAGGCCTGGCTGCCTAACCCCAGAAGGGCCCAGGAAACATGTGTTTGGAGTAAAAGAGCAGCTTCTCTTCCAAAAGCACAGAGAACCAGGGGTGGGGTCGGGGGGAGAAATGTGTGTTAAAACAAGAGGTCCTCTCTCACCTATCTTTTTATCATAAATAACAGTGGTTGGTAACGTCTAGTGTTGGTGAGAGTACAAAAAGCAGGCTCGCTGGCGCTGCGGCGCTGCGTCACTGCGTCACTGCAGCCCCCGCAGAAGCCCCGACAGTACCACCCCAGCATTCTCGGTTTCCGAATCGCCCTGACAGGCGTGTGCGGATCCGCGCGGACGGACATTCCCCACTGCACAGTCTGTCGAAGCAGCCTCCCCATCATCAGCTGGGGCATGGCCAGGCAAGTGAGCACGCATCCGGGTGCCACCCCACAAGCCGCCGCCCCGGAGCCCTCGGCAAGAATGAAGTTCTGTATTTGTGCCACTAAGTACTGATGGCACTGTAAATGGACAAAAAGATGCCAAACAGGACCTATAAAATGTCCCCATTTTGGTTAAAAAGCACAGTATTATTCTTACACCCCCACGCACATATATTCATGTAAGTGGATTAAGAGGTCTGGAAAAATACATGCCAAGTCTTAACAGCAGTTGCCTCTGGGCAACAGGGGAGCAAGATGGGGATTTTCGCTTTTTACTTTACAGACTTCTTTTTAGTGTGAATGAGTTTTCCAACAAACAACGTTACCTTTCTAACTTAATAAGCTTTTAAGAGGATGAGTGGTTGCTGCTGAGTGCACTCCCGAGCCGGCTGTTCCGGGCGGCCTTGTTTCCCTTGAGCAGGCATGGCGGGGCCCTGAAGGTCTGGGCAGGGCGCAGTCTGAAGGCCAACGCCCACCTGCCTGGGGGACCGCAGCCTTCCAGAGGGCAGCTTTGAGGCCCTTCTCAGGCAC